AGCTTTTTTTTTCCCAGCTTTCTTTATAGTCCAACTCTCACATCCATACATGACCACTGGAAAAACCATAGCTTTGACTAGACGGACCTTTGTTGGCAAAGTAATGTCTCTGCTTTTTAATATGCTGTCTAGGTTGGTCTTAACTTTCCTTCCAAGGAGTAAGCGTCTTTTAATTTCATGGCTGCAGTCACCATCTGCAGTGATTTTGGAGCCCAGAAAAATAAAGTCAGCCACTGTTTCCCCATATATTTGTCATGAAATGATGGGACCAGATGCCATGGTCTTAGTTTTCTGAATGTTCAGTTTTAAGCCAGCGTTTTCACTCTCCTCTCACTTTCATCAAGAGACTTTTCAATTCCTCTTCACTTTCTGCCATAAGTGTGGTATCATCTGCACATCTGAGGTTATTGATATTTCTCCCAGCAATCTTGATTCCAGCTTGTGCTTCTTCCAGCCTGGTATTTTTCATTATGTACTCTGCATATAAGTTAAATAAATAGGGTGACAGTATACAGCCTTGACGTATTCCTTTCCTGATTTAGAACCATCTGTTGTTCCATGTCCAGTTCTAACTGTTGCTTCTTGACCTGCATACAGGTTTCTCAGGAGGCAGGTCAGGTGATCTGGCATTCCCATCTCTTTCAGAAGTTTCCAGTTTCTTGTGATCCACACAGTCAAAGGCTTTGGCATAGTCAATAAAGCAGATGTTTTTCTGCCACTCTCTTGCTTTTTCGATGATTCAGCAGATGTTGACAATTTGATCTCTGGTTCTTCTGCCTTTTCTAAATCTAGCTTGAACATCTGGAAGTTCACGGTTCAGGTACTGTTGAAACCTGGCTTGGAGAATTTTGAGCATTACTTTGCTAGTGGGTGAGATGAGTGTAGTTGTGCAGTACTTCGAGCATTCTTTGGCATTGCCATTCTTTGGGACTGTAATGAAAACTGACCTTTTCCAGGGGCCATTGCTGAGTTTTCCAAATTTGCTGGCATAGTGAGTGCAGCACTTTCACAGCATCATCTTTCAGGATTTGAAATAGCTCAACTGGAATTCCATCACCTCCACTAGCTTTGTTCTTAGTGATGCTTCCTAAGGCCCACTTGACTTCATATTCCAAGATGTCTGGTTCTAGGTAAGTAATCACACCATCGTGGTTATCTGTGTCATGAAGAGCTTTTCTGTATAGTTCTGTGTATTCTTGCCACCTCTTCTTAATATCTTGTTTCTGTTAGGTCCATACCATTTCTGTCCTTTATTGTGCCCATCTTTGCATGAAATGTTCCCTTGGTATCTCTAATTTTCTTGAAGAGATCTCTAGTCTTTCGCATTCTGTTGTTTTCCTCTATTTCTTTGCATTGATCACTGAGGAAGGCTTTCTTATCTCTCCTTGCCATTCTTTGGAACTCTGCATTCAAATGGGTGTATCTTTCCTTTTCTCCTTTGCCTTTTGCTTCTCATCTTTTCACAGCTACTTGTAAGGACTCCTCAGATAACCATTTTGCCTTTTTGCATTGCTTTTTCTTGGGGATGGTCTTGCTCCCTGTCTCCTGTACAATGTCATGAACTTCCATCCATAATTCTTCAGGCACTCTATCAGATCTAACCTCTTGAGTCTATTTGTCACTTCCACTGTATAATCGTTAGGGATTTGATTTAGGTCATACCTGAATGGTTCAGTGGTTTTCCCTATTTTTTTCAATTTAAGTCTGAATAAGGAGTTCATGATCTGAGCCACAGTCAGCTCCTGGTCTTGTTTTTCCTGACTGTATAGAGCTTCTCCATCTTTGGCTGCAAAGAATATAATCAATCTGATTTCGGTATTGACCATCTGATGATGTCCAAGTGTAGAGTCTCGTGTTGTTGGAAGAGGGTGAAGAACAGAACATTCCGACTGATTGAACACTGTGGTCAACACTAAGTTGCCGTGTAACATGATAGAGATTACACATTTTCAAAGAATTAGGATATGAGATCATGACAACAAAATTTGTATTAATCAAAATCTTCAAAAAATTATACCAACTTCTGAACCCTAAACTTTTTATGATTTGGGAGTTCGTCTCCTACTGCTGTTCTGTTCCTAAGTATCAGTGTATTAGCGATCAGGCATTCTACCTTTCTGCTAGTGTAACTGTTCCTCCCTAGGCTGTCCCTAGCCCTGTGATGTGCCTTTTTTATATAGTCACTTTGTAAGTCTATTTCCTTCAAAGGATTAAAAGTTTCTACATGGAAGGAACATTGTGTTTATGCTTCTAGCACGTGCTTGAGCATTCAATATACATTCAAAAAAATTGTTTTGGCCACACCATGTGGCTTGTAGGATCTTAGTTCCCCGAACAGGGACTGAACCGGGGCTGCTGGCAGTGAGACCACAAAGTCTCAACCACTAGACTGCCAGGTAACTCCCCCAAGATACATTTTTATGTTTCAAACTAGTTCCCCCTAAATGGATAAGGGGTAAAGCAAATATTTATAGCAACTTCAACCATTGTTTCAAATAAATTAAGCAAAAAACCCAAAACTAAAACAAAAAAACTTAACAGGTATCTAATCTTTGATGAGAAATTTACTGCATGCTTTCCTGGTGGCAAATACCATGCTAAGTGCTTAGCTCTCAAAACTCTCAAAACAATCGATGAGGTAGGTGGTATTTTATTTACGGAGAGAAGACTGACAGATAGGGGCTTTTATGAGGTACTCGAGTATTTGTTGAGCACTTACACTTATTGGGCACTGAACTAGCACAGAACACTCGCTGCCTTCTGTGGAGCCTATTTTCTACCAGAACTTGCTAAGATCACATATATGTATCAGTATTCTAGATTTATACTTTATATGTTATGAATTTGGACGGTTGAGTGTTCATCTCTGAAATGGCCCCATTCTCACTGTTGACAAAAATTTGAGACTCAAGAGCTAAAGTTCAAGCCCTGGTGACTTCTTCAAAAAGTCACCTTGAAGGTCACTCTACCCTTGTTGACAGCATCCAACCTTGTGAGGATCTGACCTCCAAACTTACAGTAAACAGAAAATATTCTCAATAGAAGACTTATAAAATAATAAAAGGAATTATATGCTGTGAGAGTCCATTGGACAGCAAGGAGATCAAACCAATTCTAAAGGAAATCAGTCCTGAATATTCATTGGAAGGACTGATGCGGAAGCTCCAACTTTGGCCACCTGATGCAATAAACTGACTAATTGGAAACGACCCTGACGCTGGGAAAGATTGAAGGCAGGAGAAGGGGATGACAGGATGAGATGGTTGGATGGCATCACTGACTTGATGGACAGGAATTTGAGCAAGCTCCAGGAGTTGGGGATGGACAGGGAAGCCTGGCGTGCTACAGTCCATGGGGTTGCAAAGAGTTGGACACGACGGAACTGAACTGATACTATGGGATTAAAGAAATAAAAGTTAAAGCTATAACTTTTAAAGCCAGAAATTTAGCTGCCATACAAACTTCAGTTAAGAGTAGTAGAACAGAGGGGAGACTACAGAATGGACTCTGGCCTCTCGACAGCTCAGAGGGGTGGAAAAGTCTAGGGGAAGGATGAAAGTACCCAGCATCATCACAATTTAAAGAGCAAAGCTACAGACCTGAGGCCATTTTGAGTTTTATTTACTTCTTTCTGGGGCTAGACACATACACAGGGAGACAGCTAAAAAATGCAAAGCGGAAAGAGCAGCTTCAGGCCTGAAACATTCAAACATGCACTTCCTGTGAAACACTAAAGCTGCTGGGGGTTGATGGAGGGTTCCTTTCCCCAGGTCACTGCAAAGTAATCATTAATCATTGAGGTCTTCATAACTAATCCCCAGTGGTATGGGGTGTCTTAGAAAAAGTCACAAAGTTTCACTGAAGTAAAATGGAAGTTGAACTCAGAAAGTAAACAGATGATGCTAGAAAAGGAATAAGAGAAGTGGTTTTACAAGCTGCTGAGTGGGCAGAAAATTGCCTTTTACTCTAGTTTGAAGCAATTTTTCCAACTATCACAATATTATCTAGGCAATTTGAGACAAAGGGCACCAAACCATTTCCAAATGCAGAAACTTGCAAACAGCTGACCATGGCTCTCATGGCCCTTGGAATCGACTCAAGTATGCATAGGGGAGGGAGATAACACACACCACTCAGCACACAGAGTACCTATTTGACATTAGAAACCTTTTATTGAGACAAGGCCAACAAAGGGCTAGACATATTACAGGGTCAAGGAAGACTGAGGAAACTAATCTGACTTCTTTTTCCTCTGTGGAAGAGTGGGCAGCCCAAATAATGAACAGAAGCCACTCCGAGATTACTACCTATAGTTAAGGCAATTTAAAAAATGATATCTTAGCCAAAAAGCCTATACCTGGCATAAAAAAAAAATTTACATCTTTTGGATGGATGGACTAAAAAGGCTACACTGTCTACTCAAAATCTGTACAGCAGGAACCTGTTTTCAGCAGGTAAGCCTATTTACAAGTAAGATCCTCTTACTCTTGTAACATTGTCCTGTTTTAAGAAAATATATAATACCCATCCTCTGCAGAGTTAGTCCATAAGGCCTCTGTGACTCCACAGAAGTATAAAACTGTCTCTACTATAGAATTATTTATACAGCAGTGTAAATACATATAAACACACTTGCCCCTCGCCCCATCCTACAAACAGGTTATAAATATCTTGAATGAGAAGTTATGACTTATTCATTTTTATACCTTCAGTGACAATTAATAGGCACTCTAACTCTTTCTCTATACATATGTATATAATTATTTTCTTGCATGTATACTAAATGAAAATGAGCTTATACCACGACTATTTACATTTCAAACATTCCCACCATTACCCATCTCTAAAATAAGAACACCAAAAGCTACCAAGTTTACTGTGGTTTTCACAACATAGTGCTTCTGGACTTTTAAATATAAACAAATATTCTTAATTTGCAAGTTTTCAGAGTGATGATACAAATTTAGCATTCTCCTTGGAATGGAAGACTTGCTTGGAAGTTACTTCATTCTTTTTCTCTTTTTCAAGAGTGCATCTCGTAATGCCAGCTGGAAGATAAAGAAAAAATGAGGTAAACACGATCTAGAGAAGATGACCACTGGGCCAATGTTCAAAGTGAACCTGTAACTGCCCTCATAAAGTTTTACAGTTCCCAAAAGAAAATAAATGGAATATTAAGTAAAATATTATGAAGAATAAACCTAAATTAAAAAAGAAGATAACCAAGGCCAATGTGTACCTTTTAAGTTTGTGATGAATATTATTCCATTAATTCCCCAAGCACCCATCACCTTTTGAGTCCTAGAAACTTAAGGCATTTTGTGGGGGTGGAGGTTGCCTGGCTCTACATCTACATATTCACACTTTTTGAATTTTATGATTTTAAGTTATTGACTTCTTGCCTTTAACTCAGGCCTGGGTCTTAGTATGTCTGTGTAGACAGGCAGAATAACTGGGACACTTATGGTAGAAAAAAATTAACAAGTTTCTTTTAACCAACTTTCAACCAAGTTGCATGGCTAAGAAGGTATTTCTGAGTTAGCCATATATGTATTATTTTCATATCTGTAAAGTCAGTTTAAATATAGTATCCATTCATATTGTTATATATTGATTAAATAAGTTCAAAACTGGAAAGCTGTGGAATAGTCATACATATGGTTAAGAACGATATATTAGCTAATGATATATCACCAATGCAATGGACATGAACTTGGGCAAACTTCAGGAGATGGTGAGGGACAGAGAGGCCTGGCATACTGCAGTCCATGGAGTCATAACGAGTTGGACAGGACTGGGCGACTGAACAACAATCAGCTAACAATGTTACAGCTCAGGTTACACGGATTTAATTCCACTCACTAAACTCTGTAACAAAGCACAGGCTACTCTCACACGTATCAGGTCCCTTCCCCGTTCACAGCCCGCCATCTGAACACACTGCAAGGTCCTCTCCTCTCCTCTTCTCTGTGCTCTACCTTCCTTCTCTGGTCTCGCCTCTTTTGGGAGATGCTCTATAACTGCACCATCCAAATCAGTGGCCACTAGCTACACACGGCTGTTGGGCAATGAAACATGGCTAGTCCAAATATTCCCCGGTAGCTCAGCTGGTAAAGAATCCGCCTGCAATGCAGGAGACTCTGGTTCAATTCCTGGGTCGGGAAGATCCCCTGGTGAAGGGACAGGCTGCCCACTCCAGTATTCATGGGCTTCCCTGGTGGCTCAGATGGTAAAGAATCCGCCTGCAATGCAGGAGACCTGGGTTTGATCCCTGGGTTGGGAAGATCCCCTGGAGGAGGGCACAGCAACCCACTCTGGAATTCTTGCCTGGAGAATCCCCATAGACACAGGAGCCTGGCGGGCTACAGTCCATGGGGTCACAAAGAGGCAGACATGACTGAGCGACTGAACACAACACAGAGCACAAGTGTAAAACACACTGGGTTTCAATTGCTCAAAAACAAGAGTGTAAAATATCTCATGTAATAATTTTCATATTGATTACTCTGCTGGCCTAGAGGAAAGGACAGAATAGAGAAAATTAGGAACCCAGAGTCAAGCTTCATAATGAAGAGACCCTAAAGAAAATATAGGACAAGGAAACAAACACAGAAGTTCTGGTCATGGCAAGAAAACAGGAGGAGGAAAAAGCATTCTTGAACCAACGTGTGCGTATGTCCAATGACCTCTTAACTTTCTCTTAAAAAATTCTTTAAGACAAATATTTGATACTTTCAGAGGTGCTGATGGGAACAACGCAAGGCTTCTCTATCATACCAAAAAAAAAGCTGCTAAAAATAGAGGAAGTGGGGAAGGGAACGCTCTTAGCTAAGTGTAGCAAGATTACAAACATCTCAAAATAAAGCAAGGCCTGCCAACTATTTCCTCAACTGTAAAACTGTACAAGAGGCAGGGAAGGATCAATTAATGGATTTAATCAATTCAACCATGAATTTAAATGGAACTGGGAAAATTCAATTTAAAATCTTTTAAAATTAATCAATTTCTGGCTGCACTGGGTCTTGGTCGCTGGCCTTCTCTAGCTGCCCCGAGCAGGGACCACTCCCTAGCTGGGGCGCACGGGCTTCCCATCGCAGCGGCTTCTCTTGTGGAGCACATCGTACAGGACGTGGGCTCCGCAGTTGTGGCACACGGGCTTAGCCGCTCCTCAGCAAGTGTGATCTTCCTGGACCGGGGACTGAACCCCCGACCCCGGCACTGGCAGGTGGATTCTTACCCACTGGACCACCAGGGAAGTCCGAGACCATTTAAAATCTTTAATGGCATCTTTCATTTCAGCTTTCAACAACTTCTATTCAGAATATTGTCATTTTATTACTTATACAATGCTGCTAAACAGTTGCGGAGAAGGCAATGGCACCCCACTCCAGTACTCTTGCCTGGAAAATCCCATGGACGGAGGTGCCTGGTAGGCTACAGTTCATGGGGTTGCAAAGAGTTGGACATGACTGAGCGACTTCACTTTCACTTTTTACTTTCACGCATTGGAGAAGGAAATGGCAACCCACTCCAGTGTTCTTGCCTGGAGAATCCCAGGGACGGGGGAGCCTGGTGGCCTGCCGTCTACGGGGTCACACAGAGTCAGACACGACTGATGCGACTTAGCAGCAGCAGCAGCTAAACAGCTGAGAACTAGAAAGTTTTAATAGGTAGGCAGGCGTTAAGGGGTACTTAATTTAGTTCATTCTGACTCGGTTCCCACACAGATGGAGCCCTGCCCTGGAGAGCTGGCTCTCACATTCGGAACTGGGAGGTTCATAACTGGCTTGCAATTTAGGAACGCTCGTTCAGGATGTGGCACTAACATTTACTTAACCTGATTTCCTAGAGATTCTTCTGGGTACATTTAGATATATCCTCTGGAACATTCCCAGTAGACAAGGATATAAAAACAAAAATCTGTTTTACTACAATAACAAGACTACTCGCCCAAGACAGAAAATGGGTAAAATAAAATGCCAAAGGCCTCTAAGGGCACACAGAGGAACGACCATGCCAGGGACAGACTGTTTAGTCTGCACTGCTCTCCTGAAGCTGTTTCTGAGACACTGTCGTTGCTTAGTCGCTCAGTCTTGTTCCACGCTTTGCGACCCTGTGGACTGTAGTCTGCCAGGCTTCTCTGTTCATGGAATTTCCCAGGCTAGAACACTAGAGTGCGTTGTCATTTCCTTCTGCCGGGGATCTTCTCGACCCAGAGATCGAACACGCGTCTCCTGCATTGGCAAGCAGGTTCTTTACCACTGAGTCATCTGGGAAGCCCTTTCTGAGATATTACCACACATAATAATGCTTTTTGGAGAAAAGCACCAGGCATATAACAAATACTCAAAAATTATTCTTCAGTTGAGTTTGATATTATATTTCACAGATGCAACACCAAGAGACTCAGCATAGGAATGCACCTTAGCAATCATTTAGCTTAAACTCCTTTATTTACAGAGGAGGAAAAAAAACCCAAGGATCACACAGCTGAATCTCAACCAAGTTAGGTATAGGATTTATACGCCCTGACTGCTCTCCACCTCTCCATGCTCTCTAGGAATGCAGCCCATTAATCCTGAGACACACATTACACAAGGTCTTAGAGGGCACAGTTCCATTCACACGTAGAGAAGTCGCAGACCACCACCACCACTCTGCCTAGTCAAGCTTCTGGCTGAACTCACCTGCTTTTCGCGGAAGGAACGCTTAGTTTTTGACCGGACATTATGACTATACCGCATCATCATGAAGTTCTTCTGCTTTTTCTTCTCTTTATTGGTGGAACTGGAAAATGGATTCATTTTGGTTTTCTTCCTCACAAATTCTTTTCGGTCTGTTTTTCCAGCCTATTAGCACACACGCACAAAAAATACCACAGCAGGAGTTATCGTCAACATACACATCTTCTCTGTGGCAGTTCCACTGGAAGCCAAGGACATGAAGGTGGATGGAACCCAGTCCCTGCTCCCTGGTGACAGTTCAGTCCAGGGGAGACATGACTGTGATGTACTGTAATGGGGCTGGGGAGCACAGTGGAACAAATGGCTTCCAAGAGGTCAGAGGAGTCTCTGAGAAAGGGAGACCTCGTGAGCTGTTCATTGCAGGGTGAAGGCCTTTCTGGTGAGGAAAGGTGGGAAGGGTAGAGCATTTCAGGAAGTAGGAATAGTTTATGCACAGCTGTGGGGAAGAAACAAGGGTTTTCAAACTTATCTAAAGAGGTGTCAGTACCAATGGAACAGAGGGTGATGTGGAGAGCATTTTGAATGGTGTCTGAAACAATAAAGGCAGAGAAAATCAAGCTGGAAAGGTAGGCAGGCTCCAACTGTCTCTGGCTTTTCTTTAATGACTATAAACATTCCACTGCTTTTCTCATAGCTTTGATAAATAGACTGGGCCTCCTTTAAGTTGTGAAAACGTCCTCGTGCCTTTCTGTGCTCCACATCATGTCTTGGATGGTGGTTATGTGGCTATCAAGTTGCTAAAACTCACCTAACTTCCCATCTATGGCTTCTATTCTAATTACAGCTTTTCTGTGCCTATACAAGTTTTGAGTCGTATTTCACTTCACTGTATCTGTCTATTTAAAAGACCCAGGCAATGACAGGCCTCACTCACCATTGCAGTTGCTAGTCTTGTCTCCTTGTCAGACTTCGGCTTTTTATGAAGGCGTTCAATGTCCCGAAGAGAAAGTAACTCACCCCTGGGGTGAAGAGAAAAACCATAGTATCAAACAAGGATAGAATTCCTTTTCCTATAACTTTCATAATCACGTGAGCCGACTGAGGACCTGGTGCATGCGCCGTCTTACCTGCGCTCCTCATCGCTGTCTATTTCGATGTATTTCCTCTTCTGGGCTTTCCCAGGGGCAGCGTCGAGCTCTTTCCTCATTTGGGCCATTCGGATTTTCTGGAAGTCTTCCTGACTTAACACTCGGCTAGTGCTGACGGCCACCGCCTTGGCCTTCCGCTCCTCCAGCGGCATGCTGTTCAGTTTCTCAGACTTGAGAGAACACAACACGGGCTTAAACGGCCATTAACTCTGCTGAGAGGGTAGCCCCTCAATAGTCGGGACAGGAACTTTTAGGACTTACGATCTCTTTCTGTTCTTCGTCAGAAGAATGGGGCACGTCAACCCATTCGCCATCAGAATCTGCCTCGTCACTGAGACTGGCACTCTCCCAGCCATCTGCATGAAAAAGAGCGTGTCAGCAACCCCGCCCTCTGTTCAGCGCTCATGGTATACCGAGGTAAATCAAGCAAAAGAAAACTTAGGTAATGAATCTCAAGTAGGTGCTCACCAAGAGTGGAGTAGCAGTATTGTTAAATAAGTCACATCAGTTTAACTAGGTCAAGGAATGGAGAATAAGCACTGATTAAGCATCCACCATGAGCCAAAATCTGACAGTCTTTCTCTGACTGTCATGGCTCAACAAAAGAGGAGTAGATTCTCAAGTTACATAACCTGCCCCAGGCCAAAAGACTGCTAGAAATGCAGGCTATGCTGAAACTAGGAAAATCACATATGACTCCAGAGCCCGTGTTCTTTCCACCAAACCAATCATGTCCATCAAAACTGTACCTGTATATTTACAGTGACTGCATAAGAGTTATTTAACTTTCTAAGCATACTTAAATGTTTGAGAAATTAGAAACAAATCGTTCAGGGAACCAAGGCAGAAAATTCTGGTTGTGCAAGAACCTTGTAGACATCTCATTAAAAAGGCATCAGAGTTCCTAATGGAGCTACCACAGAGAGTTTTCTGAGTCAAGGACACCTGCAGTTCCCTGTGGACACCCACATTCTGTAAGACAGTGTCCCAGCTCTTAGGCATGGCACACCACCACTCACAAGAAGGCCCCAACTCCATCTCCAGTCTCAGCTTTCTGTGCATCACCTTGTATCCTACATTCTAAAAGTTTCCTAAATCCTTTGCCTGCAAAGTCTCCACTATTCTACAACTGCTCACTCAGCATTCAAAGTATGACTCATGGCTCACCATTTTCTTGAAGCTTTTATTGAACCTCTGAGGCGTACCTGACCTCTCTCCAGCCCTTATACCTGACTCTAATCATAAATCCTGTTAATGCTTTATTAGCTGTTTATGAAAAATTCTCAAGGACAGGAACCATGTCATTCATCTTTGCTTTGACAATGGCTGGCTCATAGCTAATGTTTACAAAAGTTTTGTTGAAATAATGAAAAGACAGGAAGAAGATAGGACTCTAGAAAGCAATAAATGCTAATCTTGGAAATCAGAACGGGGTTCCTCAAGCATTCCTCAACAAGTTCAACAAGTTTTCTCCTTCAATGGGAGGATTGCTAGAGACTGTAATCCTCACCATTTTTTCTAGGCAATAACAACAATAAAAACCCATTATCTTTCCCAAGTATCAAACAGCATGCCCTTGACAAGGGGCAGCCAATCTGAAGGACACAAAAAGCGTTTCCTACAGTAGAGTGTCAGCTCCCTCAGAGCAGGAACCATGCCCATCAACGCCCATTAATACCTGCAATGCCCGCAGCAGTAGTTATTACTCAGTTAACATCAGCTGAATGAATGTCCACACAGTATAAAGATTTCAAGGTCAATACAGATATAGCAGGAGTGATTCTGTCCTGAATAATGGTGCAATAAGAACAAACCTTCATCGCCTTCAGCATTTTCTTCTCCGTTTTCAACTTCCAGAATTTCTGCTCCTGGAATGTAATCTTTAGCATCCAGTTCTCCGTATTCTTGCACTCTTGCTTCTATGGAGGCTTCTGTAGGTTTACCCTAAAGGAAAGGAACTAGTTTTTTGCTTAGACAGCAAAACATTATTCATGAAAAGGATTCTCTAGGATTATGAACTCAGGAGAATCACAAAAAATGGAAGCAAATCAATGACAAAAACAGTTCACCAATGTCTTGGGTCAAAGTAAATTCCCTCTCAAAACTTTGCCCACTGTTTTCTTGCTTTCTTCTGAACTACCCCAGGAAACTTTGATTCTTAAGTCTTGAGATCTCTGCTTCTTCTGTTACATACATACATCTCATTTCCTCCCACCTCAACAGAGGTAGTATCTGATTAAGGAATAGCCTGTTCAATGCTGTCATCAGCCATACATCTGAAGAGGTCTATAAGACTCATTCAGTATCGAAGAGTATATACCAACTATAAAATAGTTAAGGAACAGTATTCAACTTTATTCTGAGTTTAAAGAATAAAACTACATGTATCACCAACACTCTAAATGGAAGCATCAGATATGTGCTCAGTTGCGCCCGACTCTTTGCAACCCCATCTAGTCTAGCACTGACAGCCTGACTGTAGCCCCCAGGTTCCTCTGTCCATGGGACTTCCCAGGCAAGAATACTGGAGTGGGCTGCCATTTCCTCCTCCAAGCACCAGAAGTACTCAAACTCAAATTGTAGGGAATTACTCTCACTTTGAGACCAAATCCTTGATCAACATATGTACGCTTCACCTACCCGGAATTTTTTTTGTAACATCTGAGGATTCAGTGTTCGGAAGAGCTGAATCAAGGTTCTAGCAGACATCATCACATCTGGAAAATAACAGCTTTAACGAGAAACTTCAGAGCAAAGAGTCTACTGAGACCAAAATGAGATACTCTATACTCCATCTACTGAGAGTAACACAGCACTTACTCTTATCTTTGTGTGTCTTATACTCAGCCAGGTCTTGCAGAAGTTCCTCGGTCATGGCCAGAGGACATCGAGCTGTTATCTCTTTTATAGCATTGATTCTAAAAAAGGAAAAAATGAAATAAAAAATAAACAAACAGGAGTTTCATGTGATTCAACCTAAGAAAATTTTCTAAAAAGACTAAATCACAAGGAATATAAGGTCAGTTTTATAGTGCTGAGGTCTCTAAAACTTCAGCATGGTGGAATGTGGGAGTGAGTGGGCAGCCTCAGAGGGGTTTGATTCCACACAGTTTACTGCTATTTCCTCTATTAGAAGAATAAGCAACATTGTCACCTCTGTAAAATATAGGCATGCCTCAGACACAGTGCAGGTCTGGTTCCAGAACAATGCAATAAAGCAAGTCACACATATTTTTTGGTTTCCCAGTGTATATACAAAAGTTATGTTTCAACTATACTGTAGTCTATTAAATGTGAACAGCATTATGTTTAAGAAAAAATGTACATACCCTTAATTAAAATATACTTTACTGCTAAAACTGCTAACCTTCATCTGAGCCTTCAGTGAGGCATAATCTTTACGCTGGTGGATTACCAAAACATTATACACAGACATGGAGTGAGCAAATGTTGGAAAGATATCGCCATTAGACTTGCCCCACACAAAGTTGCCACAGACCTTCAATGTGTAAAGCAAAGGGCAATAAAAGGAGGTGGGCTTGTATATGTTGGCAGCATTTATTCGCCAACTCTAAGGGAAACTATTAGGTCAAGTAAAGTTTTTTTTTTTAATTGGAGGATAACTGCTTTACAATGTTTTGTTGGTTTCTACCGTACATCAACATGAATCAGTCACAATTACATATACATCCCCTCCCCACCCCCCCATTCCACCCAAAAAGTTAGTCTTTAGGGCTGTTATCTCCCAGCAGTGTTTTCCAAGTGAGATAAAAAGCAGTTGCTCAGCATACTGCTTAGTTATCAGGACAGACTGGACATCCTAAACCAGTGCTCACACTTACTAAGTGTTTTTGAATTAATCAAAAAGGTCACTGAACTGCTCTAGGATTAAAGAATCATTTAATAATGAATCATTTGTTCCAGGGATGACAGGAATTCAGGGTAGCAGACAGGGAAAAAATACTTAGACTGCACACAAGCATTCATTTGAAAGAGTAAAAAGCTAGTTAAAAAACAAAATGTTAATTAGAAGCAGAGAAATCTTTTCTCTGGCTCAAAATTCTAACCAATAAATTAAAAAATTATCAAGAGAAGAAAAATACTGAGAAGGCTGAAGTATATTTAAGTTTTTCTCAGAGGGCACATTTTAGCTGAAATTTCACATCCTGGTAATGGAAAGCAAAGCCAGTAGGTGAAAACCACAGCCACTGCCTCCAGCCATGTTCTACATACCCTACTGTCATGACTTCTCCAGAGTTCTTGTCAGTGACAAAATTGTTGGCCACGGTCATGAGCAATGACTGGATGATCTGAATGGGATGGAAAGAAAGGATATGAGTATTAGTAACATGTCTCCACCTACGCAAACGCTGTGACGATGAAGGGACGATAGACTATCATAGTGGATAAACAGCCCTCCACCTTCGGTTTGGGAGGTGGAAGGATCAAGACTGAGGAAGACAGAAAAGTACTCTACTTTGGGTTTCAGCTGTCTTCTTGGCTATTCTGAGATTAAAACTGGCTCTCCTTTAATATAAGTTTTCAACACTAGTTAAAAATTTTCTTTGACCCAGGTTTATCCAACACTGTTTTAATCAAAAAAAGGAACTACCAGCTTTGAAAAATAATCACTATATAAATTCACTGATATTCTTGCCTTCTCCAGGATAAAATTTGGCCACTCAACAAAACAAGAACTCTCAACCCCTGGTTCAAAACCAAACTATATTTTCTATAGTAAAATGTTTTTATTTCTATAAGTAAACTTCTCTATATAAGTGTCCTTAAGAGCTAGTGTCTCTTCTACTCAGGTTAAGAAGGCGGGGAGGACAGTAATCTCTGTGGGATTACTCAGTGGCACTGCTATGTACTCACTAGATCCTGACAGAAGTAAAGTTTAAGAGTTCTCACCTCTGGAGGTACTAAGTGATGAGACGCTTGTGCAGCAAACAGAAGGATCTTCGTTACTTCTAACAATGAAAGAGATGAGAAAGGCCACGGTCAGTCAGTTTACAGTCCTGTCTCAGGACCACAGCAAACATGGTGAGCACACACACCGGCCTTACTGCTCCTGATTACTCCGCCTGGAACACCCAACTCTCAGACGTCTGCATGGCTCACTGCCTTGCTTCCTGCTCAACTGCTGCCTCATCAAAATGTCTCTCCTGACCACATAATTCAAACAGAACCCACCCTGGCACTTTCTGTTCTCCTTACCTGCTTCCTTTTTTCTCAAAATACTTATCTTCACCTGGACATATTATATACAACACTCTGTGGATCTCCCTCTAGAATGTAAGCTCTATGAAGGTAAGAGCAATACTTTATGTTCACTGATGTCTAATGCAGTGCTCAGACTAGGAATCACTAAATAAATGAAAAAATATAAACATACATATATACACACACTCTCCCTTTAAAGAAGCAGTATATACAAAAAATCTGCCTGCAATGCAGGGGGCCCAGGTTTGATTCCTGGGTCAGGAAGATCCCCTGAAGAAGGAAATGGCAATCCACTCCAGTATTCTTGCCTGGAGAATCCCATGGACAGATGGGTACAGTCCATGGGGTCGCAAGGGTCAGACACGACTTAGCAACTAAACCAACCATATATGAAGAACGAGGCCTTTAGCAAATGAACAGAGGGATCTTGGTCTTTTTTCTTTCTATACCTCATAGGACTGAAGTGAGGATGAAACGAGATGACTACATGTGAATCGTTTAGGACAGCATTTGGCACATGCTGAATGTTCAATAAATGTTCACTTCTTTCCTACTTTGGTACAAGTTCAAAGGCAAAAACAACCATTACTTTCTTCTTTTTCCCCAAACTTTATAAACTTTTTATTATGTATTGAGGTATAGTCTATTAACAATATTGATGTTTTTAATTAAGAATACAAATAAGGGCAATGAAAGCAGTAAGACAAACCCTGGTATCTATTACCAAGTTACAGTAAATAGTCAAAAGTCGTTTTAAGAATTTTCCATATGAGTATGGTATTACAAAAAGACTTGCTTTGAGGAACCAAACATTTTGTTGTTTTTCCTCTCCAAATAACTGCAATTCCAGAACAAAAATGGTTATTCTAACCCCAAGGCCACCAAAGGAACACAGCAAGTGGAAGCCTTACCTCTCTGGTGAGGCTGTAGAAACCTCTGCACAAAGGGGTAGAAGTTGAAGAGGAAAAGCTGTGGCGAGAAGAATGCGCGGACTTAATATGTAAACTCCGCTGGGCTGCAGAGTTTCACTGCTCCATGATCTAACTATGTCACCAAGCTTACCTAACTGGGGGTCATTTTTTACTTTCATTCCCCCCCCCCCAACAAGTATGAGTGATCCACGATGATTCAATGCACTGTATTAACCAAGGACAGGAAGGCTATGTTCCTATCCTCATTATGTCAAGGCAGAAAGTGTACACAGAATAAACCAAGGGAGGAAAGGCAGTCAAAATGCAATATTCTACTTTTAATTGGTGTGGCTACAGAAGCAACTTTTTAGTCTTCAAAGGTAATAGTAATTCAAACCTGAATAGCACCTAGTGTAATCTGATCACCAAAAAACCCACAGTCTAGTTTTGTTATTGGATACCAATCGAACCACACTGGAGAAATTACTCTGAGCTTCACCTAGATGTGGGCTCCAAAATCACCGCAGATGGTGACTGCAGCCATGAAATTAAAAGGTGCTTGCTCCTTGGAAGGAAAGTTAAGACCAACCTAGACAGCATATTGAAAAGAAGAGACATTACTTTGCCAACAAAGGTCCATCTAGCCAAGGCTATGGTTTTTCCAGTAGTCATGTATGGATTTGGACTCTCATCCAAAGCTGAGCATTGAAGAATTGATGCTTTTGAACTGTGGTGTTGGAGAAGACTCTTGAGAGTCCCTTGGACTGCAAGGAGATCCAACCAGTCCATCCTAAAGGAGATCAGTCCTGAATATTCATTGGAAGAACTCATGTTGAAGCTGAAATTCCAATACTTATTTGAAAAGACCCTGATGCTGGGAAAGATTGAAGGCGGGAGGAGAAGGGTATGACAGAGGATGAGATGGTTGGATGGCATCACTGACTCAATGGACATGAGTTTGAGTAAACTCCGGGAGTTAGTGATGGACAGGGAGGCCTGGCATGCTTCAGTCCATGAGGTCGCAAAGAGTTGGGACACAACCGAGCGACTGAATTGAACTGAACTACCTAGATGAAAGTGATTAGGATCCCGTTATTAAAGCAACTGTAATCTTTAACTTCAAGAAGAAAAACTTTGGAGATGGCCTAGTCTTTTTCAAAGCTCATCATGTGAGAATAAACTTTTTTCTATTTTAGTCACAGAGCAAAAGTAGGACCAGGAGAACCAGAAAACTAAATGGCAAGACTTGTGTTTGATATAGAGATGGATATTTAATTGCAGTCAGTTGTGAAACTCCAGTTTTCAGTTCCATCAAATCAGACTTCAATTATAAATCACTTTTGCTTTTCTATTGAGCTCAAATTCAGGTTGACTTGAAATTACTGCACAAATGTGACAAGAATTGACTGGATGATCCTGCTTTAGAACTGTAGCCCATGGAGAAAAAGCAATTTTTTCTTAAAATGCTGAATTTTTCTTTTAGAAATGGAGTAAGTATATTCACTCATGTCTACTTTCATTTTTATCTTGGTATTTGTCTACACTGCATGATATTTAATAAAGAAGCCCGTTTTACTTTTTGTTTTTTGAAGAAAGCAACATATTCAATGACAATCAGATCAGAACTAGTCACAAGAGCAAAATGACAGGAACAACCTCAACGGTCATTTCTTCCTCACCTGAATTTTTGGGAATTCCTCCTTCTTCTATAAAGGCAGATAGTCTGAGTATGTTTAAGGTTTCCATGTGTATACACAATATACATACATTATACCACCAAAGAGTTCTTGCAATCTAATTTAATATTAAATGAATAATCAGAGAATTCAGCTTTGTTAAGTGAGTAAGCCGGAAGTCAGGAAAGCTATGAAGGGGTAAATGGTGAAACATAGTAACAGTTGATAAAAATATATGCGCTATGTTGGCTCAGAAAAAAGTATAAGTGAAACAAAGGTAAATGAAGTTAAAAAAAAAACAAAACTGTCTATAAACTGAATACATGTACAATTCAACATTCATACTTACTGGTAAGAAAAAGTGACAAAAACAGCTGTTTTCCAGTGAAAGATTTTATCCTTTTGTAAACTATATGGGTTGAAATGGTATGCGAGGATCTACCTTAGTGTCCTTTTACCAAGAATAATTTACTTATAATATTCATCAAGAGAAACACAATGCAGTGCAAACCTCATGAATTCCCACCAATCTGGAGATGAGGTTCATGAGCATCATCTTCACTTCAAACCTCTCCTTGGAGCTCTCCAGCTGCTTCAGTAGCTTTTCTGCAAAATCTGGAAAGAAGAAAATAATCAGAGACGTATACTGTGGGCCCACGGTCTGCACAATGTTATCCAACAAGTGTAGAGAAAGTGGTGGTTTGATCATTGACTCTAGGGTGACTGTGCCTGAAATCACTCTGCAGAACCAGGATGGTGAAAACAGTGACAGGACAGGTGAAAAGACTTATACACAAGCAAATATACCTTCGATGGTGCCCAAAGTTAAGTCCTAAGGATTCCCAAGATTTTCAGCATCAACACTGAGTGACCGACAAACACTCTAAGGCCTTGCTTCTTAAAGTGTGGTCTGCAGAACACCCGCAGCTGTCCACCATGTAGCTTATTACAAATACTGAAACCCAGGACCTACCCCCAGACCTACTGAAAATCAGAATTTGTACTTTAATAGGATCCCACAGTGATTTGTGTATGCCTTAAAGTTTGAGGAACACTGACCAAGAGGAAGGGTCAGTAAACTGGAGTACAGAAAGCATTTAAAAGCCCCATTGCCAGGGCAGGGATAGATTCGGGGTCTGGGCTTGACATGTACACACTGCTATATTTAAAATAGATAACCAACAGGGATTAAAATACACAAACCAAACAACCACCCCATTGTCCAGTCATACCCCATATCAACTAATCAGTCTGGGAATAACAGGACCTAAGTACCAGTATAGTTTCATAAAATTCCCCAACTGATTCCATGTGCAATCTAGTTTGAGAACTAGTGTTCTAGAACAGAGTTTCCCAAATTTTAGGTTTCTACCCACCGGTTTTTAAAACAAAACAAAACAACAGGAATAAGAAGAGATTGTTAATTTTTCATTTGGTCAAGTACAATGTCTTACTATTAACTACATTATGAAAGACATGAATTGTGAAGAGAGCTGTTCCCCCACCTTTTTCTTATTTTGCTGTGGGCTGGGAATCACTGCTTTAGAATGTAATTCTCTAGGCCAGGACCAACAGACAACAATTTAGCATTTATTGTCTATTAAGTGCCAGGGATTTTATATTCTTTGATAACCTGAAAGTTAGGAAGCTAAATAGGCAGATAAAGCCAACAACGAACTTAGGAGGTCATAGTATAGTACCTTGGGGATCATGAATCAAGTGAATAGCTGAAAAGTTAAACACCTCTGGTTTTTTCTTCTTTTTATGTTTCTGAAAGAAAGGGAGAGGAAAATATTTACATTCTGAATTATAGTGAAGAGGCCCTAGGCTGTTACCAAGTCTGTCACACTATATAAAAAGAAAAAAAAAAAAAAAACTTTGTTCCAAAAAACTTTCTTTCAACTGGAAGAACTAAAGGTGGTTTATGTCTTCTAAGAGTCGGCTTGGGAATGTTCCAGCTATTAGCACCTGTGAGACTTATAGGGATCTGGAAATATAAACGTTAAAAAACAAACTAGGGCCAAATTAATGACTTCAAATAATCACTACAAAATATAAGATTTACTTCGTTTGCATTCTCTTCTGAGAAGACATGATCAAAACAAATAAAAATGAATTTAATCAAATTAATTTATTCAAGTCACAGATTTTGCTACAGCTGAGAACAACTATTCATCTAAAAAAAATCAGGGCTTAAGATCTCCAGCCCAGGTTGGATGCATGAGACAAGTGCTCAGGGCTGGTGCACTGGGAAGACCCAGAGGGATGGGATGGAGAGGGAGGCGGGAGAGGGGTTCAGGATGGGGGACACATGTAAATCCGTGGCTGATTCATGTCAATGTATGGCAAAAACCACTATAATATTGTAAAGTAATTAGCCTCCAACTAATAAAAATAAATGGGGGAAAAAAATAAAAAAATAAATTAAAAAATCAGGGCTTAAAAATTCATCACACATTTCTAAGTCTTTAACAAAAATGCTACTTTATTTCAAATGCCTAAAAGCTTTTGCTAAAGACCACATATTCTGCGTTTTAATGAATCCCATCTCCTTTCCTAGGTGTAAGTCTCACCGTGAGGACTTTCATAGCCTTTTCCAACTTTTTCTTGTTTTTAGAGCTTTTCTTCCCAGTGGCATACTGCACAAGCAGGTCTCTTGCTGTTGGTCCTTCATCCTGAAGAAAAAACTACTTTGTAAAACCATAAACAAGGAAAATCTGCATAAGAGCAGAGAATAACCCTTTCAGTCACTTCTTTGTATTTGTACTCTTTGCATGATGCGATTAAAAATAAACACAACTTTAAAAATTCAATAAAATGTTTGCCCATGTGCAGAAACAGGCACATACAAGATTTCCGCTACAGCACTAACTTGTTTTTCTGCTTTAGTTTTTGTTGAAGTATAATATATAGACAGAAGGCAACTATGTTTTTATTTGAAGGAAAAAAAACCTGGAAACAAGTGTTTATCAATAGGGAAATACTTAATCTACACTACATTTCATATTCTGAAATGTTATGTGGAGGTTAAAATACTGAGATAGATCTATATGTACAAGTAGAAGACTATCCAAATGCACTGATAACATCTATCTCTATTATATATATGTCATCACAAAGAAAACATGGTGCAAAATAAAATATATTGTTTACATATATTTTAAAAACAGACTACACACATAAGACAATATATATAGGTCCACATATAAATGCATGAGAAACGAAATGGTTATCTATGAAAAGGGAGGTGGGAAAGAAGAAAGGATTGAGAAAACTTTTATTTTATTATATCTATAATATCTGAAATTTTTACAATAGGAATGTATTGTTCATACATTATTTAATAATAAAAAAACAAATTATAAGATGTTATTTCATATTCCACTATTATTATCAAAATGCAAAAATGAGAAGGGACATTTTTTCAGAATTTATTTTTCATCTTAATAAAAGTATTTTTTACAAAGAAAATTTCATGACATCATAAATCCTGATTCTTCCTTTTAAAGATGCTACACCACCAGGGCTTCCCAGGTGGTGCTAATGGTAAAGAACCTGCTTGCCAATGCAGGAGATATAAGAGATGCGAGTTTGATCCCTGGGTTGGGAAGATCCACTGAAGAAGGGCTTGGCAACCCACTCCAGTATTCTTGCCTGGAGAATTCCATGGACAAAGGAGCCTGGCAGGCTATAGTCTTTAGGGTCACAGAGTCGGACAAGACTCAAGAGACTTAGAACACACACACACACACACACACACGACTTCCTTTCTCCACTCTATAAACCTCCATGATGTTTAACCTCAAAAATATATTGGCAGTTATTTTTATTCTAGGTTTAAACAGTGCTATATAGGTATAGCTTTAGAAAGAACAAGATTGAATGAATCTAAGTTTTATTAGTTATTTAACCAATCTTACTGAATGGGACAAAATCTAAATAGAACAAAATCTCTGCATAGCAGAACTCAATAAAGGATAAAGGTAGCATAGAAGTTTCTAACTTTAACAATCTACTGACAGCAATAATAAAATCTGATAAACTGTAAAGTTCAAAAGTATCCGTGGTTAAACTAACCTCAGACTCTGAGTCACTGGCTTGTTTCTCCTCTTCGTCTTTCCCAAGGAAGAATGTCAAAGCAGCAACTAATATCTAAAGAGCAGTTCAGACAAAGTCAATTACTCATCCCAGCTTACAACAAACAATAAATACTTCTGTCTATATTTTATACATGCATATGAACCAGGATCTGAAGCGGGGGAAAAAAAAAAAAGAGTGGTAGGATTTGGGCTCATCTTTCTTAGCCAGGCTCTACATCTTTCTTAGCCAGTTGTTATCCTTCAAGCGGCAAGTCAAGAACTTCTACATCCCCCATAAGAAAAGGGATATCATAGCCCTTCTAACAGAAAGTCAAACACACCCTTAAATTTCTTTCAGCTTTGTCCGAACCCAATAAAAGAACAGTCAAGAATTACAGGGGAAAACATAAAATAAATGCTAAGGCTATCGTTTAATAGAGAGCATTTTAAACACTCTTATTTTGTTCGCCAGAGCACAGATAAAGCAGGGAAGCAGCCTGAGCACAGGATGGACAGTGTGTGTCTGCACGCCAGCGCTTCCTTGCACACCCACTCCTCTCCTTCACCTTTCGGCTAGAGAGGGGGCTACCTACTGATGGTGCCTCCACACAGCCCTGCAGGAGCTCACCTTGGTGACCTTAGAGAAACAGGCCGTTGTGATCACATTGACAGTTTTGGCATCGTTCCTGGGGGAAGACAGTTGAGTGTTTTAAAGTAAATTTTCATTCTATTGTACTTGACAGCATAGACAATGGCACAAAATAAAAAATAAATACTTCTGACATGTTAAAATTTATAGTTTGCACTATTTCAAAAAGTCATGCGTTGCTAAATAGCCAACTACAGGTGAACATTTCTAGCCCAGTTCAATTCTAGCTCAGTCTTCTGTCAGAAAGCTATGCAGACATTAAAAAGTAGGTTTTTTTGGGAGGATTTTAAATGACATATAAACCCTACTCAAAATAAATTGGGGGGAAAAAATTTAAAAAAAACCTAAAATACAGCAAAATTACAACCATACTTCAACATTCACGTTAAAGAAAAGACAAGAGGAAATATCATATTAACTGTGATTGTCTCTTTGTGACCCTATGGACCTTAGCACACCAAGCTCCTCTGTCCATGGGATTTCCCAAGCAAAAATACTGGAATGGGTTGCCATTTCCTTCTCCAGAGGATCTTCCCAACCCAAGGATTGAACCTGCGTCTCTTTGTCTCTGGCACTGGCAGGCGGGTTCTTTACTACTAGTGCCACATGGAAAGCATACAGGTAGTAGGACTACCAATAAATTAAAAAAAAAAAAAAAAAAAAAAGCCAACTTTCCAGCTTTTCTGCTGCAACAAATATCACTTTTATACTTTTTAAAAAATTAGTGAATAAGAAAAGCAAAAGACATGAGTTGGGCGCACTGTACCAACAAGCTGAAGTTTATTTAAGTAAAGAAACTAAATTGATTTGAAAATCTTCAGAGGCCACAGAGGCTAGGAATAGCCTACACTTCAGAGTTTTGACAGATCAGGGTTTGAATTTCAACTCTACCTTTTATTAGCTACTACACTTAAGCTCATGAACCTACAGGTCTCATTACCTATAAGATGGGAATAATCCCAGATAAGCTACATTACACTGTTCTGCAGGTTGAACAGGGTAAGGCATAGTGCAGGTGCTCAAGAAATGGTAGCCAGTGTTATCATTAGTCATTTGGATTGCCTCTGTATGTTTACTTCCAACTTAATCTATATCAGTGATATATTAAAGAGCTCAAAATCAAGAAACATATTTGTGTATATGTTCTGTGGTAATTACAGACGTATATAAGCCTATTTGTCAAGAGAGAAGTACATATATATTACCAGATGTTTCTTCTGTAGAGTTCAATCATGACATCCAAAGATATTTTGGCTGCAGTTGCATTGCTATCTCTTAACATGGTATACATGAAATTCTGCAATACCTGAAGGAAAAGTGGAGAAAGAAGGCTTAATATATTGCACAATACTGCAAGACAATGCTGCAAACATGGAAAACAAAAGGGTACTTACTATATTCACTTTATTGTTCTTATGTTTTGCATTTATATTCTTGATATCAGTCACAATGTGAGTGTATAAAGTCTGTGGAAAAGAAACAAAAACATGTACATTAACTGACATTCCTAATCTCACTTTATTTGGAGAGAAATACAAATGTACAAGAGGATTTAGCTTATCCGTTTTTCATTCTATCACAAAAGAGACCAAAAACAAACAAAACAAAAAAAGCAGTTAAAGGAAAGTTACCCTCAAAAGGTTAAATATAGAGTTATATGACCAGCAAATCCACTCCTGGTTAAATTCCCAAGAGATATGAACATATATTTCCAATGTTCACACAAACATTCATAGCAGCATTATTCCTAACAACCAGAAAGTGAAAACAAGGTAAATGTTCATTAACTGATGAGTGAATAAACAGGAAGTGGTATAACCAGAGAATGAAACATTATTTGGCAACAAAAAGGAATGAGGTGATGACACAAGTTACAACATGGAGGTACTCTGAAATATTATGCTAAGTGAAAGAAGCCAGTCACAAAAAATCACACATTATATGATTCCATTTATAAGAAACATGAAGAGCAGGCAAATCTATAGAGACCAAAAGTACATTGGTGGTTGCCTAGGGCTGGGATAGATGGGAGGATAGATGGGAGGATAGATGGGAGGATGGGAGTAACTGCTAATGGGAATGAGGTTTCTTTTAAGGAGGTTATGAGTGTTCTAAAATTGACTGTGGTGGTGGCTGCAAAACTCTGTGAATGTACTAAACACCAATGAATTGTACACTTTAAATGGATGAACTGTATATGAATTATATTATCTGAATAAAATCATTATTTTTTTTTAAACGGGAAAGTTACTCCCGTAAACGCATGCAGATATCATTGGTACCCAAAATATGGACCACTTTTATTCCACAAGTTAGATCAAGAAGTATAATTGCTAAAATCAAATGAATACAGTCTCTTAACACTTTGAAAAAAAAATTTAAGTTAATGAATGTAAACTTTAGTTTCTCTTTCTGAAAATTCTTTCACAAACCTTCAGCTCCTGGTCTTACTTATATATAAAGTCACATAAAGTGACTTTATATAAAGCAAACATAAAGTCACAGGGAAATATCAATAACAAAAAAGGTCAGTTTTAGCTGGTCAGTATTGTGCAGTGGAAAAGGGACTGGGTTCTGGAGCCAGGCTGCTTGGCTTTATGCTCCTGCAGGAGCTGTGTGACTCAGGGCACATTACTCTCTCTCTCTGTGCCTCAAATTTTTCATCTGTGAAATAATAACAGTAATAAGCCCTATCTCACAGCGCTTTGTGAGTAAAAAAGTATGTAAAATGCTCTGAAAATGGTAACCCAGCAAAAAGTAAACAATGAACATCAGCTATTACTACTATATTGCCCTGTACACAATGCTCAATTTTTTCCTAATAAAATTATTTCTTAGCTGTTTCCAATGATACAAAGCCTCAAGAATTCAAGAGACTCCAAACTCTGTAAGTTTTATGTCACTGCAAGGAAAAATGACATATGGGGGTAGGGAGTGGTTTTGTTCTTTACCTTTCGCAGAAGCTTATCATGGCAACGTAGAAGTTCAAAGAAGAGTTCCAGCAAACTTGATGGACTGATGAGATTCTTATTTCTCAGCAAGATCAAAGCTTTGCAAAATGTCTCAGGAAGGGAAAAAAACATACTATAAGACAATGATAATGATGACCAAATGGAGGTGGAATATCCCCAAATTGCTTAGTATCTTCTACTAACTAGGTGTTATTCCAGGCATTGAAACAGAACAGAAAGTCTCTGCCCTTGTGGATCTTACACTGGGGGTGGAGCAGCAGAGGGGACAGACAAGCAAGTAAGCATATAAACAGGTGAGTCTCAGGAAGGAATTTAAAACAGGGTGGTATAATTACTACACAGTGACTGAGGCAGGGCTCCTTTACACAGGAGGTCAAGGAAGTATCAACATAAAATACTAGTGATCAGTGAATCCACAGACATAAGAAAGGTGCGTAACAATCACATAACACACTAAACTGGAATAATCAACCTGAATTTGTGACTTTACAAGGCTTTTTTTTTTTGAAGTACTGTTAGCAGTAAGAACAGCCCAATGGCAGTTGGAGCACTCTCACCACCAACTTCCATGAGAACCCTTAATTCCCCCAAATTTTGGCCTCTAATACAATTCTCCATTAGATGGAATAAGCGATCCTTGGCGAACAGTTGATTTCAAGTCTTGGGGCAGACAAAACAGCAAGAAAGGATTTGGAACTATTTCTGCCAGAATGCAAGGATGCTTTCAAACACATCATGGGCACTGTTAAAAGGACTGGCCAGGTTGTGACAATTTGAACTTAAATAATAGGTACCTATGATGTCAAAGATAGAGAAACAGAAATTTTATTAAATATGTAAATGTTATTTAAAAATAACAAATAATTTAAAAACCATGGTTTAATTAAGTAAATGTTAATATACGTGAGTATTTTGTTTCTTCCACTAAAAAACAAAGTTGTTTATACCTATTTAAGCAGGAAGGAGTGAACAAAAATTTGGGAATGATAAAAGTCCTGGAAAAATAGCAAATAGGCTAGGAAGAAAAAGTCCAGGAGTTGAAAAGGATTGGTGGTTATCACTACAGCTAATTAAAAACAGGATTCACCATTGTGTTCTAATGATTCCTCTAAAGAGGAATGCTAATTATACTGATTCAATCCCTTGTTTCCTAGCAATCTCCTAATTATTTAAAAAAACCTACTAATCATCATAAAACACTGCAAATAAATAATACACATATTTATTTAATAATGCCTGTAGACCAATTTGGTTGGATACTGTTAGCACACAAAACAAAGAAAACCTAATTACTTGGAAAGACAGTAAGTCTCTACGCTCAAAATCTGTATGGCCCACATGGACTTGAAAAATCCATGACGTGAGTAAAAGTCTTCCATAATGATTCAAGTCTGAAGCCTTTCAGGCTGTGCTGAGATGGTATTCTTTTTCTTTGGGGCCTAACCAAATTAAGATAATCCTAGAGAAGTATAAAAATAGAATTACAGAAAGCTTGGGAAAATGAAAGAATAAGAAACAAAGTTGAATCTACAGACTTAGCATTTTTATAAGCTTTAGTAAAGGATATTAGAATGTTTTGTGACCATAATTTTTGTGTCTACCAGCTATAAAGATGTTTGAAAAGTTGATGCATGAGATTTAAATAATGCCTCTGTCTGGGTTCCCTAGCCTCAGAGCGCAATTCATTACAGGTTTGTCCAGTGTGTGCTCTTTTCTAGAAGAGAAGGAAAGAAAGCAGGAGAAGGCACAGAAAAGCTGGGCAAGGATATACCTGTGGCTGGAGACAAGCTTTAGTTTGATCACAGAGAAGCCCTGGAATTGGACCCACCCTGTGGGAAGGGTTGGCTTTTGAACCTCTGGGTTAGTCAGACATCACCTGTGGGCTGGAAGGGCCACCTCTCAGGGGTTAGGGCTCCTATTTAGCTGAAGACAGCGCTCTAGAGGGGAGAAGGCCATGGCACCCACTCCAGTCCTCTTGCCTGGAAAATCCCATGGACGGAGGAGCCTGGTGGGCTGCGGTCCATAGGGCGCTAAGAGTCGGACATGACTGAGCGTCTTCCCTTTCACTTTTCACTTTCATGCATTGGAGAAGACAATGGCAACCCACTCCAGTGTTCTTGCCTGGAGAATCCCAGGGACGGGGGAGCCTGGTGGGCTGCCGTCTATGGGGTCGCACAGAGTCGGATACGACGGAAGTGACTTAGCAGCAGCAGCAGTGCTCTAGAGAAAGGGCCGCTGGGCGCCTTTACACCTGACATTCTCCGCAGGTGGGAGCACTGGCCAGGTAAAAGGGACCCAATGTCAGTCACCCAGGTAACAGTGTTTACAAATGCACAAACTGGCTACTTAATGGATAAATGTCTCAATTCAGCTTTATAAAAACTCTAAGTTGTAATTAGGGTTCTTCATGCATATGAGATTTGAATGACTAAGAGGAATCACCTACTCAAAATGGGGAAAAGAACATCCTGGCAGGGTTAGCAGGCTGGCAGAACGGAGAGATCAGAGGGGAGTGTAGCAGAAAGATGAGGTCAGAAACACAGGCAGCAAGCAGATCACGTAAGGATTTACAGGCTAAGTACGTTTGAGCTGTTTTCTGTGTAACTGAGAAGCACAGAAGAATTTTAATGAATGGGTGATACACTGATCAACAGTTTAGGAAGATGTTTAGATGACAGACAGTTCTCATTCAAATATCCATACACATTATACACACACATGACCACAGCACAAATTATCAACCCAAGTACTGGTCCTACCATTCGGAGATCTGGATCCAAGACAGTGTGGTTGTAGGAGAGAAGATCTTTCAGCTCTTGGGGAAAGTTACTTAAATGTTCCGGATAACAGTGACTAATCTGTAACAAAGCAAAGGCTCTTCTGAAGTTTTCCTTTCTCTCCTATAATTCATATGCACAGATTAAGGATGTTCTGCAAAAGGAGAGTAAAAGGCTATGTTTCATAAAAGTAGATGCTCCAAGTCATCTCTTTCTCTTCTACACACTAATCTCTCTTGACTCCTTTCATATTTCTTCTAGTCTTAGTAAATTATATGACATGATTCAGAATCTGCTTTCATGATGAATTTGAAGAAAACAAATAGTTTGAAAGCTTTCTTTGCTCTGGTTGGTTCTGTGAAAAGTTCTAGTGAAATCCTCTAACTTAACATAGGAGAAAAATAAAATTTGCAAAAAGGGAAAGTAAAAAAAAAATTTTTTTTTAATTAGCTTCCACTTACAAATGAAATGAGATTGGGTATAAGTGGGAAAATATTCTGCAAGCTGTGTGTAACAACTAATCTGTGATTTACCCCCCACCTCCAAAAAAAATCTTACCTGAGCCATAAACATCACCAGCTCTGCCAGTTCTTTGCTGGGTTTATTTGGTTGTAATTTGAAAATTTCCACATTGGATTTGTAGTGATTATACTGCTGTAGAAACTGTAAAAAAAAATAAAATTTAAACTGGTCACCTTCTATTACAAGACTTTCTCAGTACAGAATAAAAAAGTTACTTAGAAATCTTTGACAGTGGCATTGAGAAAAAGATGTAGTAAAGGTATATAAAAACACTGTTTTCCTTTATCAGTATTCTTCAAAACAAGTTTTGAAAAATCTGTGCACATCACAGGTAATCTAAAAAGCCTTTCCCTTAGCATTAGAAATCTAGGTATAAAGGTATGAAGAACAATGAAACAAGAGTCAAAGAGTCAGATCTGGCTCTATACTGCCATTTACTATCTAAATGATCCTCTATTGTATTATCTATGATATGGAGCCCCAATACCTGCAAAAATATATATGAGTCAGAAAATGGGCAATAAAATATAAAATTACACCTCAAGTACACAAAGCTCTCCAGTCAAAATTTCCTTCTTCCTTTAAATAATAATTATGATTTTACCCTGGAGTTCTAGATAAGATGTGTTAACAGACAAAAGCAATTGATGCAAAAGAAGTAATACTAATAATAGCTCCCCTTTATTTGGTACTTGCTATATGCCAAACTTATCATGTACATTACTTCATTTAATTATGTTTAATTCTAATAATAAGACAATAATCTAATGCTGGAACTCCCAAGCTGTTCTATGCCCTACACCCACTTTCCATGCCTAGGTCATGGCTTCAAACTATGTGTGTTTCTGTGAGAGAGAAAGGGAGAGAATGGAGAAGAGAGGGAAGGGAAGGGTAGGAGAGAGAGAGGGACACTTAGAAACAGAATGAATATTTCTTTGTATTACCATCCCTGACTGGTTCAGTGAACTCCAAATTCACGTATCCAATTGCCTGCTGAGCTGTCTAACAGACATCTTAAACTTAGCTTGGTCAAAAAACATGACCCCTGATTTCCCTCCAAAACTGCTAGGCCTCCAGTTTTCTCCAAGAGTAGGAATCAAAGAGGGAGACCTGCAGTCCCTACGTGGTTCAGTTAAGACCCTACTTCTCAAAAAAAAAAAAAAAAAGACCCTACTTCTCTGGACTCCACAATGCCACTGACAAGTGAAGAGAGGGCCCATTACTCAGAGTCCTCTTGGCAAGATCCTTATCCCACTTCTTCCCCTAGAGGACTAGAAAATAATTAAAAAGGTATTTTTATCTGTATAGCTCACTACCATAGTCCCAGTACCTAGTACACAATAGGTACTAAATAGTACTTGTCACATACCCAGACGCAGAAATAGAAACACCTGAATTATTCTTCCTTCCTTTTTCCTTCTCCCCCAGGTCCACTCCACCTGGAAGTTCTACTAGCTCCAGGTCTCCATTTCCATGAGAGCTAGCCTCCATCTGTTCACTTCCCTCCACTTGTTGATAACTCCAACAGAGGTTGGTGGTACCACCAACCCTCACCTAGGCCATTCTGACAGCTGTTACATTAGTTACCCTGCTTGCAATCTTGCTGCTCTACAACCTATAACCTCCAGAGTAAATTTTTAATAATATAAATCAGATCACTTCACACCTCTGCTTAAAACTCTTCAATGGCTCTCTAACACACCAAGAGTAAAATCTTAACACTACCATGTTTTCAAGGGCCCCACGTGACCCAATCTCTGTCTGCCTGCATTTCCCATGTCATCTTACACTACCCTTTTCTGTGCTCACTACATGTTAGCCACACCGGCCACCTCTCCACCTCTTCTCCACTGAAAGCCTCTACACTTCCTATTCTCCCTATCTAGAATGCTCTTGACCTGCCTCAATATCATAGCAGAAAAGCCTTCCCTGTTTATGGGAGCCAAATCAACAGCCTCCAATCCTAATATACTCATATCCAGTTTTACTTTCCTCATAACTCTTATCACTCTATGTCTTCCATCATTTGAATCTTACTATCATTAGAATGTAAATCCAAGAGAAGAGGGCTCTCATATCTTATTTATCCCTGCATCCTGAGTGCTTGGTGGTGGTGACTGAGTTGGTAAGTCGTGTCTGACTTTTTGCAACCCATGGCCTGCAGTGTGCCAGACTCCTGGAAATTACAATTGTCCAGGCAAGAACACTGGAATGGGTTGCCATTTCCTTTTCCAGGGGATATTCCCAACCCAGGGATCAAACCTGTGTCTCTTGTGTCTTCTGCTTGGCAGGTGGATTCTTTACCACTGAACCACCTGGGAAGCCTAGTACCCTGAGTGCTTAGAATTATAAATACTAACACACAGGAGATACAATATGTGTGAATTTGTATAAGAATTTCTTAAGTGAATGGATGGGTAATCCTCTGAGGTAGGTATTATCTCCTTGCACATTCAAATACACATAGGCTCAGGTGGTTAAATCTCCGGTTATACAACGGGTCAATAGTAGGCCCAGAGTACAGAGTTAGTGCTGAAACCAGTGCTTTTAAATACAGCACTGTATAGACTCTCAACTATGCTTTGTCTAATGGTTTATGCTGGGCTGTGCTTAGTCGCTCAGTCATGTCCAATTCTTCGCAACCCCATGGACTGTAGCCCACCAGGCTCTTCTGTACATGGGGATTCTCCAGGCAAGAATACTGGAATGGGTTGCCACGCCCTCCTCCAGGGGATCTTCCCAACCCAGGGATCGAACCCCAGGTGTCCAGCACTGCAGGCAGACGCCTTACCGTCTGAGCCACCAGGAAAGAGTATATATATTAAATATATATATCAAGCTAGAAAAGACCCTGATGCTGGGAAAGACTGAAGGCAGGAGGAGAAGGGGACGATAGGATGAGATGGTTGGATGGCATCACCGACTCAACGGACATGAGTTTGAGCAAGCTCCGGGAGATGGTGAAGGACAGGGAAGCCTGGCATATTGGAGTACATGGTTTCGCAAGGAGTGGACACGACTGAACTACTGAACAACACCATCATCAACCAAGCTCCTGTGTCTGTCCCGTATACTTGAGAATCCGCCTTCCTTCCCAACACAGTCCCTGGCACAGAACGCCGGCTCCCGGAAACAGACCTAGATCTAAAGTATTCTAACAAAGGTTTCAAGTGTTAATGACTAATTCAATTTAGGGGTTTCAGAAAACAAAAGGCTTGAGAAAATTTTCTGTAAGTCGGGGGTTAGGAGGCGGACCATTTGTCTCTCCACCTCAATAAGGTCCGGAGATAAAGCAAAATGAGGTCTTTTAAAAGGTGTTTCTGTGGCAGCGGGGTCTACCGAGCAAGCAGAAAATCCAAACAGGCAGATTTCAAGAGGTGGGAAAAGAACCCTGAGGCATATGTCTCCTTTAACCTCTTTTCTCCTCGCGGGGAACCCCTGAACTTAAGAGACGAACACGCGGCGAGACAGAATCCCAGCTACATCCTACGCCTCGCTATAGCCAGCGTCTCAACCCGGGTTTCCAGCGTCACCGCGCCGCATTCCCACCTCCTCCACGTAGGCCGGCGGGTCCCTCTTGATCAAATTCTGTAACTGCGGAAGGTTGCTGGGCAGCTTGTTATTGTTTCTGCTAGACATGTTGGCTGCTGACTGGCTCCGCGACGAGCAGTTTTAAGAAAACCCACAACGCTGGCAACTTCCAACCGTCTCAGCGGCCGTTCGGAGTCGTGCTTCCGTGTGTGACCGGAAACAGCACATGGGTAGCTCGGCGGGCGGCGCCATCTTGCTTCTTAAAGCTAGCTTAACTACGGGAGCCTCAAAGTGTCAAACTTACTCTCGCGGCCGACCTGCTCTGCCAACGGTTTACTGATTTTTTTTTTTTCCCTCCCTCGACCAACCCTACTACTACCTAGCGATGCTGAAATAATCTGAAATGCAAAGACACTCCCCGCCCCACACACAATTGTTTCTTTCACTATCCCGACACTCTCATGAAACAGACAGATGAAAATTAATAGTTACGGAAACAAACAAAAATCCTCACAGCCTAAAGTTTTAAAGAAAGCTGAGAAGACTTGAGAGTCCCTTGGACTGAAAGGAGATCAAACCAGTCCATCCTAAAGGAAATCAGTCTTGAATATTCATTGGAAGGACTGATGCTGTAGCTGAAACTCCAATACTTTGGCCACCTAATGCGAAGAAGTGACTCACTGGGCAAGATTGAGGGCAGGAGAAGAAAGGGACGACAGAGGGTGAGATGGCTGGATGGCATCATCCACTCGATGGACATGCATCCGGGAGCTGGTGATGGATAGGGAGGCCTGGCGTGCTGCAGTCCACGGGGTCACAAGAGTTGGGCAAGACTGAGCGACTGAACTGAACTGAAAGTTAGAAGCGAAGTGTGCAAAAATAAATATGTGTAGAATGAATTAATCCTTCACCCCGTTCCAAGCACTTCACTTGTACTGAATCCCGAGAAGAGCTCTCTAAAATAGGTGCTAAAATTACCCCTACTTTGCAGATAAGGAAACAGACTTGGACAAGTTGACTGCCTAAGTTCATAGCACGTGAGGGAGCTGGGACTTCAGTCCAGGCAGTCGTGACCATAACTAGATGAGAAAGAAAAATGTAGCCTGATAGTTGTCAGCTGGCTAGCTGGTCTGGCATCAATAGGTGGACAGTGGTATTCCCCTGCTTAATATAAGCAGTTTCACAGAACACCGGCTTCAAGTCCAGGTCATCTGCAGCCATGTCTGAATGAGCCAAAAAACAAGACAACTCTGTAATCACATCTAGGCACAAACAAGTTCAAGAACTCTGCAAACCACTTGCAGTTTTTCAGCTACACTTGGAGAAGGACTATTCTACCTATCATTGAACCAGGTACTTGTGAAATTATTAAGAAGTAAATGTAAACAATAAATATTTTTTTAAAAGCGCTTTCACAGATTTGAATTAAAAATGTTGTTTTTGTTGGTTGGATTAGTGAGGGAAAAACAAAATATATTGAAATAATTTAATTCCTATCTAAATTAAAAGCTTATGTATTATGAATATTTAAGTCACTAAAATATGACTTATAAGTTAAACACTCAGGCCATGTCACCAGCTTTTATTCATAGTCTGTACATCAGGCACTAGGGTAAGTGTTTGTTTTTGTTTTGTTTTTGGACATGCCTCTTGGCTTTCAGAATTTTAGTGTTCCAAACAGGGATCAAACCCAGGCCAGAGGTGAAAGAGTTCTAGCCACTGGGCCACAGGGAATTCCTTAGGGCAAGTGTTTTGAATACAAAAATAAATAAATTTCACCCTCAGGATATTCACAGATTAATGAGAGAAAAATAGAAAACACATTCTTACAATGAATAACAGAGCAATGGAAGCAATAGAGAAGACAAGCTAGCTCAGAAGAATTAGCAGGTTTCACAGTTGTGAAATACGTTTCACACTATTTGATTGAAATTTTTGATGAGTTTTTTTGGAGAAGGGAAAGAAAGATTTTCTACATAAAGAAAATAGCCAGCATAAAGGTGTGACGGCTTGGAAAACTCTGGTGGAATTAAAGGATGACCAGAAGTCTGGATGTGACTCATGGTTGGGAGGAGGTGTGCAGCAGGGAAGGAGCTGAGGAAAATTAGTCCGGTGAGTCTATGCAGTCCTGATGGTGAAGGTTTTACATGCCAATCTAAGGAGGGCACATGAGTCTGCTCATTTTACCCCCAAACAACCTGAAGCTGGACTTTGTTGTTGTTAGATGAGAAGGTTAAGACTGAGAGTGTTTAATGGAATATGTATTTTCTTTTTCTTCTTTTTTGTCCACATGTGGAGTCTCAGTTACCCAACCAGGGATCTGAACCCACATCTTTTGCCTTGCAAATTGGATTCTTAACCACTGGACCACCAGGTAAGTCTGAATATGTAATTTGAATGGCTAACTAAATATGTATTTTTTAAATGTTAAATAATGGCTGCTTGCAAAGTTGCTTCAGTTGTATCTGACTCTTTGCGACCCAATGGACTGTAGCCTGCCAGACTCCTCTGTCCATGGGATTCTCTAGGCAAGAATCTTAAAGTGGGTTGCTATGCCCTTCTCCAGGGGATCTTCCCAGTCGGGGGATCTAACCCAGGTCTCCTGTGGCTCCTGCATTTCAGGCGGATTCTTTACTGCTGAGCCACCAGGAAAGCCCCAGATAATAGCTTCAACACAAATAATTTAAGTGTAATACAGTGTACATATGTTTAGTGTAATGTTAGCCAGATCAACACTGAAGAAACTCCATGTTCCCTTCTGAACTTAATCTTGAATTGGCAAAGGAACGTTCCATCTTTTTGTGATCCCCAAATGATTTTTAACCTAAAGTGAATTATTCTAGAAGAGAAAATCTTTGTATCTTTGTAAAAAGAGACTCTATTATAATTATAAAATGGATCATAATATGTGGATTCAAATGGCTTAAAAAATATCTTATTTTTTTTTTTTTCTGAGAGATCATGTTTATTGTTTTTAAGTTACTAAGTCAGTTCAGTCGCTCAGTCGTGTACAACTCTTTGTGACAAAAATATCTTATTTGAAGGAGCCTAGACTCAGTTCAGTTCAGTTCAGTTGCTCAGTCGTGTCCAACTCTTTGAGACTGCATGGACTGCAGCACACCAGGCCTCCCTGTCCATCACCAACTCCCGGCATTTATTCAAACCCATGTCCATTGAGTCGGTGATGCCATCCAACCATCTCATCCTCTGTCGTCCCCTTCTCCTTCTGCCTTCAATCTTTCCCAACATCTAGGTCTTTTCAAATAAGTCAGTTCTTTGCATCAGGTGGCCAAAGTATTAGAGTTTCAGCTTCAACATCAGTCCTTCCAGTGAATATTCAGGACTGATTTCTTTAGGATGGACTGGTTGGATCTCCTTGTAGTCCAAGGGACTCTTTAAGAGTCTTCTCCAACACCACAGTTCAAAAGCATCAGTTCTTTGGCGCTCAGCTTTCTTCACAGTCCAACTCTCACATCCATACATGACTACTGGAAAAACCATAGCCTTGACCAGATGGACCTTTGTTGGCAAAGTAATGTCTCTGCTTTTTAATATGCTGTCTAGTTTGGTCATAACTATTCTTCCAAGGAGCAAGCGTCTTTTAATTTCATGCATGGAGTCAACATCTGCAGTGATTTTGGAGCCCAATAAAATAAAGTCTGTCACTGTTTCCACTGTTTCCCCATCTATTTGCCATGAAGTGATGGGACTGGATGTCATGATCTTAGTTTTTGATTACTGAGTTTTAAGCCAACTTTTCACTGTCCTCTCACTTTCATCAAGAGGCTCTTCAATTCCTCTGCTTTCTGCCATAAGGGTGATATTATCTGAATATCTGAGGTTATTGGTATTTCTCCCAGAAATCTTGATTCCAGCTTGTGCTTCATCCAGCCCAGCATTTTTCATGATGTACTCTGCATATAAGTTAAATAAGCAGGGTGACAGTATACAGCCTTGATGTACTCCTTTCCTGATTTGGGACTAGAGGGGCTAGAGGGCATAGACTAGAGGGCTATTTTAAATTTTTTTCCAAAAGAAGCACACTCTTTTGACTTATATCTCTATTTGGGGTGCCTTTTTTTGCGATAGTCCAGACAGCAGCTTGAGCACCATTCTTGAGCCATTAAATCCCTATCACAAGTACAATAATAGGAAGGAGGGAGGTAAGGGAGGGCAAAATGGCACACCTCCCAGCTGAATTAGTCCTATTTACGTCAGTTCCAAACAATATAATGCTTTTTAAAAAATCTGTGTCACACAGTTTGTGGGATCTCAGTTCCCTGACCAGATGTTGAACTGGGGCGACAGCAGTGAAAGCCAAGAACCCTAACCACTATGCCATCAGGGAACTCTTCCCCAAACAATGTGATATTTTTGTATCTATCTCCTGGGTCAGAACGTGGTGAGATGAATAGTACTACAAGCGAGTCTTTCCTGGGTACAATGAGGCTCTGACTAAAGGAAGCAGAGGTCATGTTTATTTTGATGACTGAAGAAAGGCTTCATGAGGATGGATGATGTATTTGAGAGAAGTCTTGAAGCAGGCATAGGGTTTTGATTTGAAAGGATACAGGACTTCCCAGGTGGTGCTAGTGGTAAAGAATCTGCCTGCCAATGCAAGGGGCACAGGTTCAATCCCTGGTCTGGGAAGATTCCACATGCCATGGAGAGATGACGCATATGTGCCGCATCTATTGACTCTGTGCTCTCGAGCCTGGTAGCTGCAACAACTGAAGCCTGCATGTCCTAGGGTCTGTGATCCTCAACAAGAGAATCCACCGCATTGAGAAGCCCATGCACTGCAGCAATGAGCAGCCCCTGCTCGCTGCAACTAGAGAAAACCTGAGCAAAGCCATGAAGACACGGTGCAGCCAAAAATAAATAAATAAAAATTTTAAAAAAAGATATTAATGAAAAAAAAGCTAATTAATGTATAAGAAACAGGCCACAGAGTATACAATGTGATAAGTTTTGATATATGTTTGCACCCATGAAACCATCATTACAATCAGGATAATGAGGATATTCATTATCCAAGTTTTCTTTTGCTGCACCATCCCAGACAAGCACACATCTGCTTTCTGTCACCATAAGTTTGCACTTGCAGA